TCAAACAATCCACACTGTTGTACATCTTTCATATTAATGACATAACTTAGATACTTCTGTAAAGCCTTCACAAAAAGCCACCTTGTTCTGTTAAAGATGTTTCCACAGTGTGAATTCAGTGTGAATTTATCATAATTTTTTTTAAAGAACCCTTGATGGGGTTTTAGATTGTATTCAATTGTTTCCCCCAGCAGCTCTATGGAGAAACAGTTGACAGGCAAGATTGTATAAGTTTAAAGTATACCATGCATTGATTTGTGACACACACACACATATATAGTGCAAAATAATTACAAACAAAGGATTAGGTAAACCTCCATCACATCACATACTATGTTACCATTTTTTTTGTGGTGAGAACATTCAAGAATTCTTTTAGCAGCTTTCAAGTATATAATACAGTATTGTTAATTCTACTCATCATGCCTTACATTAGTTTCCAGAGCTGCTCATCTCATAATGGGAAGATTGTGCCTTTCAGCCATCACCTCCCATTTCCCTCACCCCCATGTAACCACCATTCTTCTGCCCTTTGTATGAGTTCAGAGTTTTTAGATTCCACCTATAAGTGACATCATGCAGCACTTGTCTTTCTGACATATTTCACTTAACCTGGATAGACCCCGAGGGCTTTATGCTGCAGCCAATGGCAGGCTTTCCCTGTGCTTCTAAAGTACCTGTAGCAGAGATGTGCATTACTTTTCTTTTTTAGACTTTTGGCCTTTCCCTGTTTCCACCTGTCCAGAGATCTGTTCTTGCAGCTGCTTTGTCTTGCTGGCACTGCCCATACGCCTCTTCCCCAGGGTTCCAGAGCCAGGTCTTGCAGACTGTGTGCACTTCATGAGGCCAGTCCCGAGGGGCTGGGGAGTGGTAATGCATCCTAGCTACTGTCTTGTTCTTTTCACTAGGGACCCTGCCTGCTAAGGGGTACCCCAGCTACCCTGTGTGTGTTTACCTTCAGTCAGAGGTGTGTGCCTCCACACCACTCTGCTCTCCCCTTCTCAGGGCTGTGTCACCACAGTTTGCACAGCAGCCTTCCCACCTCAGACCACAGCCTGCAGGCGTTTTTTTCCCACTTACCTCTCAGTTCATGAAGCGTGATCTCCCAGTGTCCTTTTTGGTGCAGTCCTTGCTGATGTCCAAAAGATGCTCCAGTTTTTCCCCCAAGTCTCAGGGCTCTACGGGTGTAATTTCAGTGTGGTTAACTTTCAGATTATCCTCCCAGGAACGAAGCTGTGAACCACCTCCCATGCCAGTATCTCATCCTTATCATTTTGTTCATTGTTTTTTGGCTGTTCCTTTCTGCTTTTCTTCCTCTCATCCTCAGTAATTTCATGACTTTTTCTTTTTCTCCTAACCCTAGCCCTTGTGATCTTTTCCATAGTGGTATGCTTAGATTGCTAGGTGCATTGACTAGGTTATTATTTGTAGTTACCATGAAGTTTATGTAAAACTTCTATAAGTCTATAACAGCCTATTAAGTTGATAACAACTTTTTTTGAATGCATTTTTTTTACCCAAAGTGAGCATATTGTATTAAAACAATTCACTGTAAAATGAAGAATATTGCTAAAGGTGAAGACATTACATAATGCTAAATTGAATGCATTTTAAAGCCCTATATTTGACTTCACAACTTATAATCTTTTAATTCTCATATTGGTTTTATACATAATTAACCCACATCTTTTCAACATTAGATTAGACCACATATTTACTTTACCACAGAGAATCATACTTTCAGAGTTTTCCTGTTACTAATTGTGCCCTTTCACTTCAGCTTAAAAATACTACTAGACTGGTCTCAAGGGGAATATTAAAGAAGTAGTAAACTATTTCTCCTTCAAAGTTGAAGCACAGATTTGGGCAATTTTGGTTTGCAGGGTTTTATTTGCTCTCACCTCTCGGTATATCATGCCACTCATTTCTTTTGACTCATGAAGTTTCTGCTAAAAGGTCTGCTGATTATGTTAGGGAGGATTCCTTGTATTTTTAAAATAAATAGCCTGTTCCCTGTTCTTCCTTTTCCTATACTACAAATGTTGGTCCACTTGATATTGCCCTAAAGTCCCTTAATTTGTCTCCACTCTTTCTTTTTGCTGAGAATTACACTCGCCTATTTTCAAGTTCACTGATTCTTTCTTATCTAATTTTCAGTTCAGCTACTGTATTCTCTAGCGCTCTGATTTCTAGTCAGTTCTTTCCATCTGTTGAACTGCTTGCTCTATTCATGCAAATCTCTGAGCTTGGCGAGCATCTTTATCACCGCTGATTTGATCCCTATCAAGTAAGTCACTTACCTTAAGTTTTTTTAATAGTTTTTATCTTGCTTGACTCTGTTGGTTTCTATGCACTATACAAAACAGCCACAACTCCCAGTGTGGCAGGAGTAGCCTCATGTAGGAGATGAGCCTTCTGTAACTATGCTCTAGCTCTTGTTTTTTTGTCTAGCTGTTGTGACAGTCCAACAGCCAACTTCATTGCTAGTGGTGCTCAGACATCAAGGGTGTGTTAAGGTCTGTTAGTGTCCCAAAGGAGGGGTGATTATCAGTCTGCATCTAGATTGAATGATGGGAAGTCAGACTCTCAGAAAGCAGCTCTAAGTATGCACACATACCTCTCTCTGCAGAGGACTGAGATGGACATTTCTGTCTGCTCCTCCGCATTGAGCCCTGGGTGGTATATTCTGACATTTCCACTGGTCACCACAGCCATCAAGGGGAGTGTCCTCTGGATGACAGCTGGAAAACCAGGGTATCAGATGTGTGTACAATTTCCGTTTTAGGAGCTACCCTTGACCCGGGGCGTTACCTGTCAGCCTCCCTGTCACTGAAGGTGACTGTATTCAGTTCCTAGGTGTTTAACTAGAAGGCTGCCTTTCAGCACCACAGCTATGAAAGTAAGCTAACAGACCTCTTTGAGGTGTGTGGGGTTTTTGACAGTAAGAGGGGGTACATTTCAGTCTGTTGCCTCTTCGTGTGACTGGAGGGTATAGCCTGTTAGGACTGTAATGAACAGTTCCTCTGGGGCCCATGAATGTAAGCCCTGCTGGCCATCCAAGCCGGTGGTCAAGTGGTTCCCCTGGCTGGCAGCTGCAGAAACTAGACTACAGCAGTGCACGTAGGCTTCTCTCTAGGGACATACCAGTGGCCTGGAGCAAGGGAGAGTGTGAAGATGGGTCCCTCCAGCTTCTTCTTCTTTGAAGAGTATTTCATTTGGCCCCGGGACTTAAAATAGAAGACTGCCCTTCAAGCTAAAAGCTTTAAGATAAACAAAAGGCCTTTCTCACATAAAGACCGGGTGGTTTCAGCCCACTGCTTCTGCCCTGTACCCTGCGCTGTGGCGATGGAGTCTCGTGAACCCTTTAAGAGCTGTGTCTTTGTTTCTTACAGTCTTGTGGAAACAAACCCTGTGGGATTTCAGAGATAAATGTTTTGAGGGCTTGTCTTTTGGATGCAGGTATTGAAATTTAGGGTGCCAGGTATGGGATTCAAACCCTTCAATCCCCAGGGAGAAGCTCAGAAGCTTCTTGTGGGTCTCAGACGAGTGAGCAAAGGGACTTATGATAGAGTGTGTCTTAGCCTTTCCTGTGTCTTTTTTTTCTTTTTTTTTAAACCTCATTTGTTCACTGTGCAGGAGTTGCTCATCTAGTCTGAGGGGGCCTTTCTGAGGTTAATGTTCCATATGTGATTGTGGAGTCTGTGGCAAGAGAACTATTCAGTATCTCCTCTATCACATCCAGAACCCTGTATTTTTTTTATAGTAATTCTAATATATGTGACGCTACCTCATTGTGTTTTGGTTTGCATTTCCCTCATGAGTGGCATTGAACACCTTTTCATGTATCTGTTGATCATTTGTACATCTTTTTTTGAGAAATACCTATTTTAGGGGAGCTGGAACCAGTTCATGTGCCGGTGCAGAGTCCACAGCCAGGACCAAGCTCTGCTAGCAACCTGGGCATGGGCAGCACACTCATCCTTCCCATCTTGGTGAAAGGGGCTCTCACAGAGGCACTTCTGTATGTGAATAGATGCCAATTTGTTGTTGAGGAGAGGACAAAAATGAAGGACCTCTTATGTTACTGTGATGCCACTTCTCAGTCATATTACATACACAGGTGAGCCTTGAACAATGAGGGGTTTAGGACACCCCCCCAAAAGCCTGTGTGTACCTCACAGTCAACCCAACCCAGCCACAGGTTCCGCATCCACAGCTGGTTGAATCCATGAATGTGGAACGTGAGTGTGCCAAGACATTCCGTCTGTAAGTGGACCTGACCAGTTCAAACTGATGTTGTTCAAGGGTCACCTGTGTAACAGTACTGTCCTGTCTGTGCACCTGAAAGTTTCTGCAGCTGCCATCCAGGGGAAACACTGGCTTGGGTGACCAGCAGGGCTTACATTAATGGGCCCCACAGGGACCATTTATTACAGTCCTAACAGGCTACATCCTGAAGAGGCAGCAGACTGAAATGTACCTGTCTTTCTCCCAAATATTTGGGAGTATTTTTATGATAAAATCCTAGAATGACTAGATAAAAGGGTATATGCAGGTTTCATTTTTGATTAAACCCATCACTATATGCAAATTTACTCACAGTATACAAGTTCCAAGTCCTGATTATTTATTATATTGCCAATCAGCTATGTGAAAAGAGCAGTTCTGGTTGAGATTTATCTTATGAGTGGGGCTAAGCTGCTTTTTTATGTTTAAAAGATACATCTTTCCTGTGAACGCTTCATATACTTTGTGCATTTTTGTTTTTGGCTTTTACTTATTGAGTCATTACAGCTCTTTCTGACAGGAGTGACAAATAGAATAGCTTTTCAAAACAAAATCATACAAAGAACTCAAGTATATAGAGAGACTATTGTATATGAAGCTGGGGCTCAAGGATAAAATGCAGGAAGTGGTCAGGGCATTGGGCAGCACCCAGAGATGCTTGCTAGGTATAAAGTTTGCTAAAACTCACCTATCTCTGGCCATTCTTTCCCCAGCTCATGTGTTCCTCAGTGCAGAAGGCCCTGTTTGAGGAGGAGGACCACATCAAGAAACTGCAGCAGAAAGTCGCCACGCTGGAGAAACGGAACAGACAGCTCCGGGACCGGGTGAAGAAGGTCAAGAGGTCTCTGAGGCAGGCACGGAAAAACAGCCGCCAGCTGGAGCTGGTGAACCAGAAGCTCAGTGAGAAGCTGGTGGCCGCAGCAGGTGCCATCCCCCACATCAATGCCCTGGGGCGCGACCATGCAGGCGCCACCTACCTGCGGGGGTAGTGGGGGCCGCGCAGTGGCTCACAGCCCCTCGCCCGGAAATGGAGAGTGAGGGTGGTTTTGTACATGCACATATTTCAAATCTTGTAGGAGACTTTTTTTTTATTTTAATGTTTTTGGTAGTCTAGTGGGTTTAAAAGGCAGACTTTGCTCTCCTTGGTTTCTGGCCTCCTGCCCATCCCTGGCCTCAAAGTGTGCAGTAAGAGGACTCAGTGCTGTGTGCTTGTTTGAGGGGTCTGTCCTCCACTCCCAGGAGCAGCCTGAAAGGTGCACTTACTGGGATAAGGATAGCTAGAGTCTCTAGCTAAAGGCTGAACCCTGAGGTCCCTCCATTTCAGCTCGAGGACAACGATTAGTTTTTGATGAATGATCCAAAGCTAGTGACAGGACTGTCTGCTGTCTCATTTTCCATACCTTGGGATGGTGGCCTTGCAAAGCACCCAAGGATGACCATAAACATGTGCTGGGTGCCCCCGCGCCAGCTAGCATTTCCTCACAGCTGAGGCATATTAAGACTTAATGAGCTCAGCACAGATAAGGGAATTGAGGGGAGGAGGTTACAGGTGATTAAGAGGAAATCTACCTGACTTCCAGCCCCAGCTCTCCAGAGTTGTAGCCAGTGGACCTACTGGTCATCTCAAGCGAAAGGAAATTCCCTTCACGGGCCTGTCACATTGCGTCAAACCGTATTCCGAAGTTGGAAGAGCTGGAGCTGCGTCTCAGCCACTGGTAAATTCTAACTTATTATTTGCTCACTAATGACTTCCAACTTGTCAAAATTTGAGGCAAGTCAGTGCTCTTGAGAACTTCTGTGTTGTAAAGACACCTCCTTATCTATTGGGGATCAGGTGACCTTACCTCATTCCCATCCAGGGCTTTTCTGGGCATCCTGATTCCTGCTGATTTATGCAGATGCTTTCCATCCACAGCATGGTCCTTATCCTGAGAGAAATATTTGCACATCAGTCCATTTGTATCAGTTCCTGTACATGCCCAATGTGCTTCATGCTTTTTGGAAAGCAACCTTTAAAGACATTACAACAGGTAAAAAGTAGAGCTCTCCTACCTAAGGCCCAGCTGTGTTACTGAGAAGCCAGCTGAGTGCCCATATCTTGGTTATCTTCTGATCACGGCTTCCATACCACCAAGTTTCCCTCCCCTGACATGCCAGACAGAAGTTTTGAGTCTCTCTTTAGGGGGTCTGCCCCATAGAACACCCAGACACTGCAGGGCCTGATCACTTGGCCCTCTGTGCTGTAAGTGGCAGCTAGATTTTCATTTCACTAGTTTTAGGAAAACCAGGTCTCCTTGCTCTGGCAGCCAGTGTGGGACTTGAGTCCTGGTGGCAGGCTGCTGCCTCAGCAGTGCCGTCTACAGCCTGAACCTGACAGAATGGGAGCTTTTACTCAAGGGGACTTCATGTCTAAGCATCTGCCACTACTTTGCTCTATTCTTCATTGTATGGTGAATAGAAGTTGCAGCCTTCAGTTTATTCCCCTCGGGGACATTGCAATAAAGCAGCTTTTGCTTCTACCAAAGGGAATGATGAGGTGGGTGATTTATAACCACTGTCTGGAGAACTATGGGAGCTGGATTCCTACAGATGCCTTATCTTCTTCCTTTTTAATAAACAGAGCAATATTTCAGCCATAGTAGTAAGGAAGTGTGTGTTTCTTTTGGGTCAGAGATTTCAAGATTTCCAGTTGGGTCCTGGGAAAACAATTTAGATCCTTTGGGAGAAATGTCTGAGTAACACCTGGGGCATTTAGAGGACTGAGCTTAAGCCTCCTCTGCTGTCCCTTCTGGAATGTGGCCTATGCCTGCCTCTTTCAGGGTTCCCATCTCTCAAAACACCTGCAGAAAAGCAGTGTTCTCTGGGCCTGCTCCTCACAAGGAAGAAGAGGCTTCATTAGTCAAGGTTTCAAAAGTACACTCAGACCTGTTGCCAAAGGGCTCTCCTGGCCCATTATCGGCTGCACTGTCCCCTTATGCTAACCCTTCCACCTTGTGCTAGTAGGAGGTTTTATGCAAGAAAGCACCAAGAATTACTCAGAACTTTAATAGAACCTATGGGAGTTCTATTAGCAACATCTCCAAGATGTAGGCATTGTTTAGCTCCACTTTGTGGTTCCAGTGACCTTTGCAAAGTAACGTAAGTGAGAGGCACTCAGACTTTAAAAATCTTTATAGAACCCAAACAGTATAGAGGTTACAGGTAGTGTGGGGGTGAGGTTTCTTCAGCCTCCACAATGTGTTTGAATGTGAATGCCTTTGGTGGGACCCCTGTTCGTTATTCCCTCATAGACTGTTAGACATTTAGGGTACTGCCCTGGCAAGGTTCTCACTTCTGTAGTGCCAGGCCATGAACCCTATATTTTATGCTGATTTTCTATTAAAATCAAGCACCCAGCATGTATTCAGCTCTACCACATATACAGTCTCATGTGACATTCCTAATCATTTTAGAAAATGGTGGTCCTGTTCCCCATTCTTCAAAAAGAATCTAGGATTTCACGAGATTAAATTGCTCAGTATACACAAGTAGCACAGGTGGTCAAAGATTGAACCCTATCTTTCCTTACTTACATGTTAAGTGGGGATAATCACTCCTACCTCAAATGCTCTTAGAAGAATGAAATTCCTGGTGTGAATGCTTGCCCTGGTGTGTGACATTCCACAAACTCTCAGTAGACATTACTTATAGTAACAGTTGTAAAAAAATTTTGGTTGGATTAAGTAAATCTTTCTTACACGTGATAGCTCTTTTCCAATTGTACATTACTAGTTCTTTTTCATTTTCTTACTTTTGAGCTACACTTTTCTTTGTTGCTCCAAATTTACCAAGAAAATATGATCCATCAGAGAATGGGAGCCCTCCATTTCTACTCTAACTCACACTGCCCAGTTTGGCAGTGTGAGTCCCCCAGTTCTTGTATGCATGAATACATAAATCTTTAAAAAAAAAGTAAAATAAAAATCTTAAAAAAATACCCACACTCATATGGTAGGAAAGGCTGTCCTACACTTATGCCACAAGTCCCATCATGACACAGAGCAGTATAATCAGTAGAGAACCACCAAATCCCATCTTTCCCCTGAGGAACCAAAGTTTGAGTAGTATAGCTAATACCCCACATTTTAAGACCTCCCCCCAGAAGAGATGGAGCCCAAAACAACTCTTTCTGAAAACCAGTGCGTTTGCATTCACAAGACACATAAGAACAGAGCAAACAGAGGAGCCATTATTAACAGGCATGAATACTCATTTCATCAATCATGCAGAAGGAATAGGCAAAACACATTCATATACTAGTTTTCACCTGAATAGGTTCTATTGCATACTTAAAAAGCTGCTGAATGTGTATCAGTTTTCCAATCTAGCAAGCTTTTTGACGATATATGCCCCTGCCGCAAACCAAAATAGAGCAAACACCTTCTCTGCCCTCGACAATCCACTCCAAGTCACCATTAACTCCCTAGAAGAAGCTTGAACACATATCTGTACTCCAGCTTTGCAGCTGCTATTGAAGGTTAGATCCCCAGATTGCCTGGCTTTGATCGCCAATGGGACTTCCACTCATGAGTCCTGTAGAACTGTAACAAAGAAAGTAGTTCTTGGGTTCTGGTTCACTCTCCTGCAGCTATGTACTCAGACTTAAGGATGAGTAAGTGGGCAAAAATGCCTACCTCACTTTTTCTCTGGAAGGCACCTAACTGCATGGTTGCCCAGGTGCTGCCTGAGGGTGCAGTTTCTAATAGTCTGCATCAAGGTGCAGTGACACTTTCCTTTGGGACTATGATGAGTCTTGGCACACACTCAACTATTGTTCCTAGTGAGGAACAAAGAATGCTGCTTGTATAATCACAAAAGTTAGATAACCAGGAGCATGGGGCCAGACTGATTAGGATCATCTCCTGTACAAGCTCACTCTGTCTACACAGAAAAAGGTGTATATTTTACCTTGTGCATGAAAAACAACACAGCCAAGGAAAGTATGTTCTGCACCCACCCCACCCCCCAAAAAGAGACAAGATGAAACTCTAGAAATTGATTTGAATAAAACATAGACAAGTGAGTTTACCTGATTAGACGCCTCAAAATAATGGACATTAAAATGCTCACCAAGATCAGGACAGCCAAGCATGAAAAAAAAAATGAATTTCAACAACATAAAAATTAAAAGTATCAAAGGAAATCACAGATTGAGGAATATAATATGAACTGAAATAATGGAGGGATTCAATGGAAGACTAGATCAATTGTGAAAAAGTATAAGTGAACTCAAAGATGACATTGGAATGTATCTAATTATAGAAGTAAAACTATCAAGAACTTAAGGGACTTATGGGATACCATCATACTGACCAATATACAAATTTATAGGGGTCTCAGAAGAGGTAGTGAAAGGGGAAAAATAAAATTCAAAGAAATAATTGCTGTAAACTCCCAGGAGGCAAAAATAGATGTAGGAATTCACAAAATTCAAAAAGAGATGAATCCAAGCAGACCAACAATGAGACATTATAATTAAATTTTCAAAAGTTAAAGAAGAGACTTTTTAAAGCAACAAGAGAAAAAAAAAAACAAACTTGTTATGTACAAGGCATCCCCAGTAAGATAACAGGCAGATTTTTTTTTTTTTTTTTTAGTAAAAACTTTGTAGATCAGAAAGGTCTGGAATTATGTATTCAAAACACTGAAAGAAAAAAAAAATCAAGAATACAGAGCAAAGCCATCCTTCAGTGTCAAAGGTAAATTAGATATCATATATAGAAAACCCAAGGATTTTACAAATAGAACTAACAAATCCTGGTTACAGGATATGAAATCAATATACAAAAATAATGTAATTTAACATGTCTTGCAGAATTAAAGGAGAAAGAGTTTTACAGATAAGCAAAAGCAGAAGGAATTTATCACCACTAAACAGGCCTTACAAAAATGTTAAAGGTACTTTTTTAACCTGAAATGAGGGCATGAAATAATAACAGAAAAAAAAAGTGAAAGTGGCAAAGGTAAATATGTAATTAAATCGAGAATAAACTGATAATCTCATGCTGTAATGGTGATGGCTAGTCACTTACAAATGTATGAAGATTAAAAGAAAAAATTAACAAAAATAGCTACAACTTTAATAATTTGTTAATGGATACCTAAGATAATGAGAAAATGTGAATTGTGACATCAAAAACATAAACCATGTGGAGGAAGAATAAAAATAAGGAGCAACAAAATTATCAGTTAAATAGGCCATTGTAACCCTTAAGATTTTTATGTAAGCTGTATGGTTACCACAAAGCAAAAACCTACACAAAATGCAGTGTTTTTTTTAACAATAAAATGAATATTTTCTAACAGTAAAAAGAAGTTTAAGTTTACTACTACTGAAAATCATCAAATCACAATGAGAGAGAGAGCAAGAGAAGAAGAAAGGAACATGAATTATAAAAGTCAGGAAACAATTAAAATGGCACTCAGTCCATACCATTAATATTTATTTTAACTTAAGTAAATTTTCTATAAATGTTCTAAATACTACAATCAAAACAGAGTGGTGAAACAGATTAAAATTAAAACCACTGGGCCTCCCCAGTGGCGCAGAGGGTTGAGCACAGTGCTGTGAAGCTGTCCGAAGC